GTAACGATGTTCACGTTCTGAGGACACGTTCATTAAAATGCATGGGATGCAGGCGACATGCTTGGAGATGAATGAACGCGACAAGCTTCCTTAAAGTTATAAACAATTTCCGAGAGATCCGTTTTTATCGCCTGACCTTGAGTGACAGGTGCATGGCGGTGAAATCGGTGACCTGATAAGGTCGATAAAGGAATGGCGAAATGTGTTGAAAATACACAACAAGCCTTGTCTATGAAACACGAATGTATGTATACTTTTCTTTCGAATACTTCGTTGATATCAATAAGCATGATTCGATTTTAGTATCATTATCAATGACGACAGTGATTTCTTGAATTATGGATGTAAGATATGTGTTAATATGAGACGACATTTATTAATTTGGTATGTTCGTACATTGTATTGTCCCAAATAACACCCATGTATATAAATGCTAGTCAGTGCTAGGGAACGGACCATATTTCGTAAATGCTGAAGGTATGTGGTATGTCTTAATTAGCTGAAATCTTAATAAGACTATACAATGCAATCATTGTTGACATACATGTGAGTGAGTGATCGGGTGAGTCCCAATTTCTAAAGTCCCGACGATCTCACTACATACTGTATTATCAAAAAGAAACCATGCGAGTGTCGAATTCAGTGTAACAAATTAATACCGAACTGACTTGTCATCTAAAAGCATCTTCCCAAGGCAAGGGGGGTGAGTGACTGTAAAAGTCAAGTTGCCACGTGTAAACTGGACTTTTTACAGTCAGTTAGCTCCCTTGCCCCGGGAAGATGTCGTATTTGCCTTATACGACAAGTGGATCTGTTTCGGCAGAAAATCTAGGATGGTTATTCTTTTGCATTGACAATTTATATATATTATAGAGGTGGGGTGAGGTTTAACGTCGCGTCCAAAATTATTGCACTGATAGCGACGTGCATACACATATGTGAATGTGGCTATTTGCCCTAGTCCGGACTGATGCCGATTTATAGTGCTGAAATACCATGCCGCTAATTAACATGAATACCCCATTCAGACACAGTATACTGACTCCCGGCCGACCAGTCCTTGTTACAGCCCCTTATTGCCGAGCGCCGGTCATGGTAACAACAAGTACCATCTTTTAGCTTCTTTTATTATGACGCGGCCTGGGATCGAACCCCGGACCTTCCGCTCTCCGGGCGGACGCTCTACCACTAGACCACCGAGGCAGTCTCACACTATGAGACGAATGACGCTGATATGACCTGGTATGGAGGCAGAAGGGAGGAATGTCTTGTGGTATGGGAGGTTTGCTGGCACCATTGGGGGTATAAGAGGCACAGATTAATCTCACCCAGAGGGTCGGTTTCGCTTATGTAGTGAGTATATTCTTACATAAGTGATGAATTGGTCAACTGGTATTAGTTGGGGGGTTCCCCCTTTTCTAGTCCCTTTTGTTAAGGTGTGGGGGTCAGTGAGCCGTGATACACCCATATGCCATGGGGGATTAAGGTGCAGTCTATTCCAGACTTATTTATCACAGGTTCATTTAACACTGTTGAACCTGTGAACTGGTAACATTTTTTATTATAGAAATCAGAACATTTATTCATGCATATATGTATTATTTTTGCAAATTATGGTGCAATGCAATTGAGACCATGGACATTTGTCACTGTACATATAACATAATACATAATAAGTGATACAGATGTAACTAATATCATATTTGGGATAACACTTTTATCAGTAAAGTACAGATTCTCGTCATATTTTGGGTTGAGTCCCGTCCGGGATTCGAACCCACACTGCCAGAGAGAAGCACATAATCGCCAGCACACAAAGTCAGCGATGTAACCCACTCTGCCACCGAGTGATGCAGAGCATCACTGAGGCTCCAGGTGGACGAGGGGAACAGTAGCGGGAGTCTCTAATCGGAGTTCTGTGGGTCTTTCAAACTGCTGACGATGTCGTTGGTGGTGTTGACTGTTGGTGGCATCCTTTCTCACAACACCTCCAGTGAACACGACCGCCTTTGGTTGTTTTAATATTATACTTGTAGCCGGAGTGTATCGAGTATCTTCCTCCACGAGAATTTAGGATAAATATAATGCTGACGTGTGCGTTTGCCATTTTGCAGTGACCATCTGTCAGTCCCGTTTATATTATTACAGACCGCCTACGAGGTCTAATGGTAGAGCGTCCGCCCGGAGAGCGGAAGGTCCGGGGTTCGATCCCCGACCGCGTCATACCAAAAGACGTTAAAAGATGGTACTTGTTGTTACCCTGTCTGGCGTTCGACATTAAGGGGCTGTAACAAGGACTGGTCGGCTCGGAGTCAGTATACTGTGTCTGAGTGGGGTATTCATGTTAAACTGCGGCATTGTATGTCAGTGAGTTAGCACTATAAATTGGCCACATACTCACACACACACACGTACATGCACGTCGCTATATAAGTGCAATAATCTTGGACGCGACGTTAAACCCTATTTCACCTCATCTCATATTATTACAATCTAACATCATTCACTCTCACATACATGTAAGGTAATCATTTGTATTTTTATTGATTAATTTGTGATTAAGATATGAATTAAGTTTCGGGAGTGTCGTCGTCTACTTTCGTCGACACTGTTATCAAATCGACTTTACACAGTGATTTGTTACATCAAGTTGACCCCTTCAGTTACATAGTGGACTCATCCAGGCAACCAGTAAAAATGCCACAGTTTAACATGGATACCCCATTCTGGGACAGTATGCTGACTCTGACCCGACCAGTCCTTGTTTTATCCATTGGATGTCGAACGTCAGGCAGGGTAACAACAAGTACCATCTATTAACGTCTTTTGGTATGACCGGCCAGTTGATCGAATCACCGACCTTCCGTTCTCCGAACAGTGTAGCTATGCCAATTGCTACAACATCTGGTTTCTCTGGTCCAGACGCGATTATTTACAGGCCGCCATTAGTCTATGTGGTAAAATAACGTGCTCACATTTCACTGTGGTTCAGTCAGAATAGGGATAATATATTAGATAAATGTCCACATCATCATACTCGAAGTGAGACTAGGCATGGGTTGGTTGATGTATGTCATCGTATCCAAATTGCGTGGATCGATGCTCTTGATGTCCATCACTGGGTTGTCTGGTCCAGACTCTATTATTTACAAACCGCCGTCATATAGCAAGAATATTGCTGAGTGCAGCGTTAAACAACAAACAAAGCTAGGCTTATGCTAATTGAGTGAGTGAGTGAGTGAGTTTGGGTTAACGCCGCTTTTAACATTATTCCAGTTATATCACGGCGTGTCAGCTTAATGTGGGAGGAAAGCCCGAAGTGATGCAGGTCTTAGACGTTTACCACTTCGGTGAAACCCACGAGCACGGGTATAGTGCTGACAAACCTAGAAACCTAATCGGGGCGAATCGGGATTCGAACCCACAATCATAGGTTTCTGGTGTGCCCAGGGGACGCAACTCTGCACAGTGAATCGCGGCGCCTTAGACGACTGGGCCACCCGTGCCCCCCTTATGCTAATTGGAAAACCCAGCAAACTTGATTCAGGTCTTCCATTACCAATTTGTTTGTCAGCTAACTATTGTGCCCATTACACATGACACTAATCTCAACGCGTAGTCCTAGACTTGAAAAGGGAGTGAGTATGTTTTTATGTCGCTTTTAGCAATATTACAGAAATAGCACGGCGGCAGACACCAGGTATGGGATTCACACAATTTACCCATGTTGGATTCGAACCTGGCCCTCGGCGTGGCAAGCTAACGCTGTATAACAACTGGGATATCAAGTCTCTTAAATCAGGAGGATCCAGGGTTTTGAAAAAAAGGGATGGGTGTGCTGCACGTAATACCTTAGTCCGCACGCACACGCACACGCACGCGCACACACGCACACACACACACACACACGCACACACACACACACACACACAAAGCAACTTAGACACACCCCTGGATCCCCCAGTATTAAGTGAAAATTCATTTGAAATTACTGTACACAAGGTTGTTATTCCCAGGTTTCTGAGGAATGTTTTAAGTCTAATTTCTCGATTCTGATCCACAAAATGCGATTACAGTGTGCGTTTAAGATCTGAGCCAACCATTTGAAATCTACAACGACAAACAACTGATATCGGTTTTAGTCAGCGTATCTACAGGTATTAAGATACCAGCAACACCATTACTTCGTGAAAATGTGCACATCATAAAACAGCTATATACTGCCCGAAGAGGTGTGTTAAAGGTCGTGAAGTTTTTTTAAAATTTTTTAAGTAGAAAAGCCTAGGCACATAGTTTCACAAAAAAACATCCCATAAAATAATCATGATCCCTAACGTTTTTAGTTGAGTATACCTATATGAGCCGTGTTGCCGCCTCGGGCGGTGTATTGGGTAAAGGAAGTGACGGGTGATAATCACTTAACCGTATACATCAACCATGAAGACACGTAGCGCTCAGACATTGCCTCTGGCATGTCATAAAGTATTTGGTTCATTACACACACAGAGTACAGACACGGATGTGAAAATGCAAACGATGAGCAAATCAAGATACGTGCATACCTGATAATTATTTAAAAAAAAGTGTTTATACTCTTTATATTTTTGTGTGATATATATACATCGACTTTGGTCAGCCGTTTTACGATTCTGTTTTCTTTGTTTTTAGTCTTACTCTTATATGAGCCAATGTTAGATGCGATAATAAAGCCATTTAAGAAATTGTATTTGAATTCGAAATTAACCGTTTCTCATTCTAGATTATTATATCTTTTTGCTGGAAAACATGTCTCCTAGACCATATTATGGCGTAAAATGTGAAATAAATAAATATCGTTTCAACCACTATTCAGTAACACTTATCAATAAACGATATGATTAAATGAACTATGAACAATAATCCTTATTCGAATACATCAGCTTTTACTTTATAAAGGACAAATCAAACAGGGGGAATTAACTCTAATTACCTCAAGCCCTAAAGGGAGGTAAGCGCATTGGGCGTGTCTGAGTGAGGAAGAAGCGGTGTTGTCCAAACAGCAATCACGAAGCATGGCTTGCGAGCAATTTCAGCAGCATGCTATTAAGCAGACGGGCCTCGATATGTGAGATGTCCTAAGGATTTGTAACTTGTGGGACGGAGAGGTCTGTATATTTTAGATAATGTTTAACGGCGATAAGACAAACTAGAATGCCGGAAACGTGACGTCTGCTTGCATTGAATTCGGATGATGCATTGATAGGCTATTGGCGACAAAAGTTGTCAAGCTGGCGTCGTGGATGGTGGGGTTGTTTGTTGAGCACATACTGACTCCCTTGCGCACCTGTTTACGCTGTTATATCTGGGTCACTGTATACACCCATATATGTATTTATTTAATGTACTTCATGTGAATGCGATGAATATGCCAAGATGAAAAACTTAGATCTGTGAGGATATGTTTATATTTGAGTCTGTTGTTTAACACTGATTGAAACTGAAAGGTTATTTTGAGGTTAGGGTGGGTCAAATGACATTCAAGTTCATGAGTTGAAATCTATATTTGTTTAACTGAAGTTAAAATGTTCTTTCTGACATCAGAACTGTTCCATATTATGCATTTCATAGTTTATGTTTAAACTAAAAAAGGTATTAAAAATCTTGAAAATTTAGGCTCCTTACACTAGCTAGGTTCAGATCAACTGGCAGTTATAGCAAGTTGAATTGAACACCCTTGAACCCTGCTTTGTTTGTTTCTAGCTCAATTGTTTTATGAATATCAGTCTATAGGCTTAAATGTGTACCCTAATATTAGCATTACCGTAAGTCAATAGGGTACATTCAGTAGGAATGGGGATTCCTCTCTCATTTATAAAGCTTTCTGTCTTCGTTTGTTTCTAGCTTAATTGTTTTATGAATATCAGTGTATAGGCTTAAATGTGTACCCTAATATTAGCATTAAGTCAGTAGAGTACATTCAGTAGGAATCGGGATTCCTCTCTTATTGATAAAGCTTTCTGTCTTCAATAGACAGATAGTAGCCCATATGAGTTGAACTGATGAGTAATTGAAGCTCTGGACTAGATGCGAGTCAGGTTGAAATCTTAGCAACATGTCAAGTCGTTATCATGCCACTTTGTTCGTCTGCTCCATACCTTTTATGATGTCCGTCAATCAAACAGTCGATAATTACCTCTGTGGTGAAGAATGTCTTTACATCAATGGTCTAATGGTCTACATAGTCTTGTGTCCAGGGTCTGGGGCTAGACAGTGTAATAACTGTCATGTGTAATTGACACATTGCCTCTGTTTTATTCAGGTAATCCTTGTTCACAGGGTTCTAATCTAAACTTAACATGTACCTAGAGATGCAAATAATAGCATGTACTATACCTTCCGTGATGGGATAATTTCTCGAAGGATGGGTGAAATACAAAGTCAACCTGTCCTGTGGACAGTCATTTTTTTCTGTGAATAAGTAATACATATCGCCATGATGTCTATGTGTACAAAAACTAAACTACCCTAATTCATGTTCGAAGTAATAGACAACAGAAATAGATATGCATTAAATGTTGGACTGGCAACTTTTGACAAGGACTGGTAAGATTTTCAAGTAGCCAGTCCTGTGATCTGGGGTCTGCAACCTGATTTATGTTTGCTAGTCTGTGACTGGTTAGATTCAGAAAGTACTAGTGACATATTTCTTGTGGATTACCACTCTGTGTCAGATCATATTTGCAGACTAGTGAAAATATTAATAATATAGAAACCCTGTTTCAGTACTTTAATTACTTGATGTAGGCTTACATACACTTGTATCTTTGGTACGTGCTTACTGGGTGAATTAATTAAGGTGAGTAAGTTATTGTGGTTTTAGCCCTGTTTCTTCACTGTCGCTCTTCATACCATAGACCAGGTTTCAGGAGCGTTAGAAATTGGCACTAGTCCTGTAGTCCTTACCCAACTGCCCAATAGTAAAGGTAGAAATTGTCCCATTTTAAGGGTTTTGCTATATGTTATCATTATAAGGACTAGTGGACAAAAACTGTTAGTTTCTAACCCTGGGTTTGATTCCCCACGGGGGTACACCGTGTGAAGCCATTTGTCCCGGTGTCCTGTGATATAGCTGGAATATTGCCAAAAAAAGCTTAAAACCCAACCCACTCACCATCTGTTGGGGTCATGACAAGGACATCAAGAAATAGTTTCATTAATTGCCCTCATGTTGGCAATCAAACCCTGGTTACACACTCAAACCAAATGGTTAGACACTCATCTGTTTGTTTGAGACTACTAAAAATCTTGAGAGACTAGTTGTTTTCACCTCAAGTCTAGTTATTACATCTATCACAAGTCCACTAAGGAGCTGTGGATAAGTAGGATATCAGCGGCAGAAACTAACAGTTTTAGTCCACTAGTCCTTATAATGATAGCATATGGCAAAACCCTTAAAAAGGGCAAATTTCTACTTGTCCTTGTGATAACTACTGGCCAGTTTGGCAAGGAATACAGGACTTGTGCCAATTTCTAACTCTGGATATTATAACAAATGGTGACTAACCCTAATATCCTAGTGGCTGGCTACATCTTGTGAAGGCAATATTCACCATATGCACACACCTTCAAATCTTTCTATGACATTGAATCTGGGTTTTATATTAATACATCTATGGCCTATACTATGACACCCTTTTTGTTTTGACCTGGTTATTGACCCTTGAAGATCTGGTAAGTTAGTTAGTGAGTTGGGTTTAACGCCGCTTTTAACATTATTCCAGTTATATCGCGGCGTGTCAGCTTAATGTGGGAGGAAAGCCCGAAGTGATGCAGGTCTTAGACGTTTACCACTTTGGTGAAACCCATGAGCACGGGTATGGTGCTGACAAACCTAGAAACATAATCGGGGCGAACCGGGATTCGAACCCACAATCATAGGTTTCTGGCGTGCCCAAGGGACGCAACTCTGCACAGCGAATTGCGGCGCCTTAGACGACTTGGCCACCCATGCCCCCTTGAAGATCTGGGATAGAATAGGTCTTCAGCAACCCATGCTTGCTGTAAAAGGCAACTATGCTTGTCGTAAGAGGTGACTCATGGGATGGGATGGGATGGTCAGGCTCGCTGACGTGGTTGATGCATGTCATCATATCACATTTGCGTGGATTGATGCCCATTATGTCAATCACTGGATTGTCTGGTCCAGACTCCATTATTTACAGACCACCGTGATATAGATGGAATATTGCTGAGTGCGGCATTAACAACATTGAACAAACCAAACAAACTTGGTTATCATGGATGCATGCTATTTCATTTAACAGGAATCTGAGGCCTGAGTAACATGGTGTTTTCTTCTATTTGTATTTGGTTCCACGTTGTGACTTATGACCTTTTGGAGTCAAAAACGTTTTGAGATATGCTGTTTCAAAACTATAAAGGGCCTTTTATCGATAGTAGACCAAGACCAGGAGATATTTTTAATTCATGAGCGTAAAATGTAAAAATATAAACAAGGATGAATTAATTGTGGTTAAAAAATGTTCTCTCTGCATCTTGGCAAATTTGATCAATACAATTCCCCTTCACCTCCCTCTGCCACTTTAGCCACTAGCCTGAAGCCAGGGTATAGTAAAATTCTGTTTGGTCTAAGTAGCTCAGCTAATACTAATAATACTCCATATTACACTAAGTGCTACTGAAAATAATGCTGGAAGCAATCTACTGATCTACAGGCTAGTAGTGTCAACAGTTTTAGACATGTTCTGTATCTGGTTACAGTAAGTCATTAGGAGGACCTTTTATTGATAACATTGTTAAAGCTGACAAAATCTGAAGAAATCAACATCTTATCTCCCATGACCCCATTCTCCCATGGAGTCATGGGAACATTAATAGAGGATTCATCACGAGTGTTTTTTAATATGGGAAATATCAACCGAGTCTTAGTTAATCGGTATTTGCCGAGCCTTTGGCGAGGCAAATACCGATTAACGGGACGAGGTTGATATTTCCCATATTAAAAAACACGAGTGATGAATTCTATTTATCATTTTCACATTTTTGCTTCCAAATTAAGGAATAATTGCATTAAACATTAACATCAGCAACTTGTCGAAATCTTACGTATAGATCGTGCGTAGTGATACATGTTTTCCATAGCCATGTAAACCAAAATAAACAATTCGCTGAGAAAAAAAGTTCCTCGGATTATTTTAAACAAAATACTTGAACAGACTTTTGCAGAATAATTGAAACTTTAATAACGGTAACAACAACGACTCTGTGTAATCTGATTATATCTCTGGTGTAACTTCACTTATAAAATATAGTTTCAAATCAAACCGCTCGCTCTTCCGGTTATCTAATTTGCATATCTAATTTGCATACTTATGTCATTGGGGTATGACATACATGTTTTATGTCATAAGCTTATGTCATGGATAAATGCTTAAGTTAAATGATAATAGCTTTTATTACCATCCATTCAGGCTTGAGATGTGATAGTGTCAGCTGATTGCAGTGTTGGCTTGGGTCGGTAACTCATGTGACTGCCAGTTCCTGTGGTCTGGCAAACAAAGTACCTTATAAATCTTTGTTGTTGAACAAAACATCAGCGATATTCAAAAAGTATTTTTTTCCGATTGAAGTCAGCTTGTCTGTTACCATCAGTGTTTCCCTTTGTCTATTTGTCGTGCAAGGAAATATCATTTTGCTTTGCTTCGAGGTTAAATATATATTTGTAGCGAAATTTGTTAAAATTTGTAGAAAATTGTGACAGAACTTTGTGTGAATGACATGTAGATAAAGTTGCTTCAGAGATGATGTCATTGCATTGAACGTGATATTGAAGGAATTCAAACCAGGTAATTTTCATACTTTAAAATTTTTTTTTTGTTGAAAGTTGGGAGTGACCAAACTTAAGGGGCACTGGTAATGTTTAGAGTTACAGTTTCAAAAGCCAGCGGGAATACTGTATTGATGTGTGCAATACACAGATTATTTTCAATTTATCAATAGTGTGACCTCATTGCCATGATTACTGCTGTAATTGTGTGTATATGATAGTGTTTGTATGTCCTGGAGGGCCTCCTTCTGTAGGGTGTATGTTGATTAGTTGTGTTCATGTAGCACTGTTTGCCATTATGGCTGTTAACGTGTACTGGTTGACTGGCTACACATAATGTCCCTAGGGTCTTCATGATGGTATATTGCAGATGCTTGAAACTACATACACTACTCCGCATCGATGACTTCCCTGAAGCCTAAGCCTGATCAATTCTCTGGAGTAAAAGGGATTGATCTTGGTTTTCAAACTAATTGCCTTTGGAAGGTCGATAAAAATGGTTATAGTTACAATTAGGATATTTTTAGTTCTTTTCTTAAATTCAGAGATATTGACCAACGTTAGAAATTGGCACTAGTCCTGTAGTCCTGGCCAAACAGCCAAATAGTTAGGGAATCATAAGGACTAATAGAAATTTGCCATTTTTAAGGATTTTGCTACATAACTGGGATTGATGACATGTATAAATCAATTCAGCGAGCCTGACCACCTGATCCCGTTAGTCGCCTCTTACGACAAGCGTAGTTGCCTTTTACGACAAGCATGGGTTGCTGAAGACCTATAATTCTATCCCCAATCTTCATGGGTGGTGCTCTGAAGGGCAAAGGATTACACGCTGGGCAAGCAACAAAAGTGGTGCTTTGTGAAACAAACAGTCTTGATTGACGAGTTAAATGAGACATTTACAGTTTATAACAAAACATTTTCAAGAGAATAACAAATAGCAAGAGGCTATATTAATTCTATAAATGACCACCTGTCATTATTTTGCTATGTAAATGTGGAACGAACTTAAAAAGGAAGTCCACAGTTTGTGTATGGGCCAGACACTTACGATAAAGGGAGACAATTTGCAAGGAGGTAGCTCTTAAATTACAATAGTAAACACGTCCAGAGTTATCCCCCTTGCATTACAATTGAATCAAGCTCCTTCCCAGTGCATGACACCTTTGTTACACTCTCGGTAACATTGCTGCCACCAGTGTGAGTGTGACCATTACAAGATTCTTGAAATTTTGCCTCTTTGTTATAATGTTTATACTTTTGTTTATGACTTTGGAAATGCAATCATAGTGAATATTGAAAAGGTTTACAACTGACCATATTTCCCAGATGAATTGAACTTATTGGTTGTTTGATCAGATTGGTTCAAGATTGCAGAAGAATGGAAAATCCACCTACCTCTTCCTTACATTCTTACTATACCAATTACATGATAGTTATATTTCTATAATGAAACAGAAATTCAAACTGACAAACAAAGAAAATAATTTAGCAGGGGAAGAGTATTCGGCGTCACCGCAGTCATCACTTGTTTGTAATGTAAACATAACGGTCAGTCGGTTGCAAGTTTAACTCCAGGCATGGTTGTGGCCACCTATCACAGTGGGGAGTTTTGACTGGTGGCGACAGTATAGAGAGCTCCGTGAACGGGCTATTGCTGTGAGGAGCTTGGTTGTATTCGCTTAATTTGCATTTGATGGGTGTTCAGGTCAGTTCAAGATAACATACTCTCGTCATTGTTTTCACATTGGTAAAAAGTTTGTCATTTTCCAGCAGGGTATATAAATTTTTACCTTATGTCAAGAGGGTACGTAGGAAAATTTGACCTTTCCGTAAGAAATCAGAAACAAGTATCTTAAGGCAAGGTAAGATTACAGTCCATATGATAACACTGTATAGTAATACTGACAATAAAGTCACCAGCCATTGTAGTCAAGTTTGGCCTGGTTCTCCAAACAAATAAGATTGGGGCATGTTCTTCAACTCAAATTTATCCTGTGCATTTGTAGTATATTTCTGTGTAATTGGATACAGAAACAATTTTATATCACACAAAGTAATGCTCAACATGCCCAAAGTAAATTGTGTCAGCCCAAATTTAGATATCAGATAAGATTACAGGAATAACACATATACATGTATAGGCACAGCCAAACAGATAGACCCCCATGGAAGCATTTGGACAGATTGATTCTGTACTAGTCACAGAATTTCTCCTTAAAGTAGGTTTGGTAATAAGAGTGAGTGAGTGAGTGAGTATGGTTTTACGCCGCTTTTAGCAATATTCCAGCAATATCACGGCGGGGGACACCAGAAATGGGCTTCACACATTGTACCCATGTCGGGAATCAAACCCGGGTTTTCGGCATGACGAGCGGACACTTTAACCACTGGGCTACCTGACCTCCCTCAGGTAATAAGACAGTGCTTTATTAGTGGATAGGTTTTAACAAGAGGTGTGGGCAGCATTTGTAGATTATTTTTGCAAGTTATATAAGCAGGTAACTTATTGTTTTGTGTAGCAGTTAGTGGTGTTCTGATAAATTAAATTCAGTGTTCGAAATTAAGCATGAAAGACAAAGATGACCTTCTCATGACCCCAATGTCAAAGGTCAAGGTTGAGATGAAACTTCCGGGACGAATCCCCCATTTTTTGTTTGTTGAAGATATGATATCTGAAATTTAAGTTTAGCTGTTGCCCATGTATTTGCGAAGTCCACAGGATCTGTCACCATAATGACACAAGAGATTATTTCCTGCCATGTCACTATGATCATCCTGATGTTAGTGTCAAGCTGTCATCACACGGAACACATACACTGCATAATCAATATGCTGTGTTTACATAATGCATGCGGCTTATCTGTAACTTGCAAACTCAGTGCTGTGTAAGGTCACACTCACTCAAAGTATTGATTACTTGTAGGCCTGACGGTAGCCTCTTGGATTCAGTTACTTATTTGCCTAATAATAAGATAATTAGGCTGATTATGAGCATGCCATTGAGATGTCTGCATGATATAGGTGAGTGGTATTTTCTGCTGGTGTGGTTATGGCAAAACAGGATTAGTTAGAAAAGACTCAGTGATTCATTTGGTGGTGTGCATGTGTTGGTTTGCAGTAGGTTTGAGTGGAAATACATTATGGAGAGGAGAGGCTTTACTAGTAAAAAGGTATGACAAGGTCCAAGTGACAAAGCACTGTAAAATCATTATCGCTCGCTCACTGTTATTTAAATTAAATATACAACGAGGGATCATTGTATTTGAAAAACAAAGTCTTAATTATTTCACAAATTGTTACATTTCTGTCGTCTTGAAAAGTCATGTATACATATATGTTTCGTTTTGGTTTAATGTGCTCTCAGCAATGTTTCAGCTATATGACAGCAGCCTGTATATAAAACAAAATGACAAAACCATTTCCATATTCATAACAAATTTCTGCTAAAAGGAGAGTTGATTGTATAATTCAGACTATATCATGAGCATGGGTTTATGAATCATATTCAAATAGTGATGACACCAGATGTTCGCTAAAAGGTGAGCGTATCCTGCCCCACTGGTGGCAATAGTTAAGTATTGACTAGACAAACCAGGGTTAGAAACTCACAGTTTTCGTCCGCTAGTCCTCATAATGATAACATATAGCAAAACCCTTTAAAAGGGCACATTTCTACTAGTCCTTATGATACCTTTACCATTGGGCAGGTTGGTAAGGACTATAGGACTAGGGCCAATTTCTAACGCTGCAAACCAGTGGTTGATATCATGAGCAACGCTGACATATCTAGAGTAGTATGTTATGTAATGGAGAAATCGTGAGAATTGACCTTTCCGGAATCATTAGATTTGAGTGATTTCTCTGACTTGAACCATGTTATTATTATGGTTGATATATTTCTCTATAACTTTACACAATGACCTATGGTTGTGAATTCCTGGGCCCTTGAAGATCCGGGGAAGAAAAGGTTTTCAGCAACCCATGCTTGCCGTAAAAAGTGACTATCCTTGTCATATTATGAAGAGGCGACTATTGGGTTTGGGTGGTCAGGCTCGCTGACTTGATTGATGCATGTCATCATATCCCAATTGCGTGGATCAATGCTCATGATGTCAATCACTGGATTGTCTGGTCCACACTTGATTATTTACAGACCGCCGTCATATAGCTGGAATATTGCCAAGTGCGGCATTAATCAACAAACAACTAACCAACCAACCTCAGTATCTACTGCAACATCAATAGTGTGACATCATCATGAGGATATGATATCAGTTATATTGTATCATGAGAAATATGTAGGAGTAACACTTTTCACATCACTTTCCAGGTCCCCGTCTTGAAGATCAACATCACTGACAGCAGGGTGACTATTCTGTGGATGATCGTCAAATCCTCAGTGACACTGCTAAGAAGGACAGTCATGGGTATCCAGCTCCCCCCCGACATCTGCTATGGTTCCATGGCTTTCTTCATGTCAATACTCCATAATATCTTCCTCCTCTACCATGTTGACATGTTCGTTTCCGTCTACAAGATCGACAAATACTCCTTTTGGGTCGGCGAGGCAATTTTCCTGGTGTGGAACTCTCTCAATGACCCCCTATTTGGCTGGCTCAGTGATCGCCAGTATTTGAATACTTCAGCGAAAACATCATCACAGTATGAAATAGTCATGAGAAGATTCAATGCTATACAAATCAACGGTCCACTTTTTGCGATATCGTTTATTGCGTTTTGGATCCCATGGGCTTACCCCTGGCTACAGTTTGTGGTGTGCTTGTGTCTGTATGATGGCTTCCTGACCATGCTGGACCTGCATCATTCCGCCCTTTTAGCCGATTTATCCGTTTCGGCAGATGTCCGGACTAGTTTAAACTCAAGGTGCTCAATTTTTTCTGCCATGGGATCAGCATCTGTGTTTTTGTCCTACGCTTTTTGGAATAAGGATAATTTGTCATCTTTTCGGACTTTCTGTTTTATACTCGCTTGTGTCTCATTTGTGGGATTTTTGTTAAGCTCAAGTCTACTTAAAAACTATTACATAAAAAAGCACAAGGAGGAAGATGAAGAGGTCACATCAAAGGAAACGTGAGTTTTTTATTTCTATTTTTCTGGATTTGAATCTGAATCCAGGATTTGGGAAAGGGGAAGTAGCTGTCTGTGCAATGTTTTAAATTACGAATAAGAGTCAAGTTGTCCTAGTCATCTCTGATTTTAAATTTTACAGATTTAGGGGGTCACTAGATTCCAACAATTCAGGGGCTAACCACAAGGACCCCATTTATGTCACAAATTGAAGTTATCAAAACACATGATAGAGTGACTGACGTCGGTGACATGTAAACAATCGGAGCATGGCCTGACAAGCAAGTGGTTGGTAGCATGATCCATGTCAGTCTTCAATTGTCTTGCCTAGCCAAGAAAAAGCATCTTGACATATGAATAAATGTAAACTACAGTAAACTACATTTATGACGAACACACTTATAATGAACTAACAGATATAACAAACTGTTATTGTGGTCCCAGACATTTGCTGTATATTTTTGTTGAAATGCGTTATAAAACAAACAAAAATTAGTGGTCCCTCTGAGTTTGTTATAACCGTAGTTTACTGCATGTTTATCTTTCAGGCTCCGGATTCGTCAGAAAATAGAAAAAGAGTGGCCTAATTGTCTTTGTAAATTTGTTTTGCAGCAAAGATCTTGACCTTCCTGGAGGTGCACCCACCAAGTCCTTTATATCACAGCTACTCTCACAGAAAAACTTTTTATGGTTCGCTGCAATGAATTTGATACAGGTAAGCAGCTTCTTGTGATGGTGCAATGAATTTGATACAGGTAAGCAGCTTCTTGTGATGATGCAATGAATTTGATACAGGTAAGCAGCTTCTTGTGATGATGCAATGAATTTGATACAGGTAAGCAGCTTCTTGTGATGATGCAATGAATTTGATACAGGTAAGCAGCTTCTTGTGATGGTGCAATGAATTTGATACAGGTAAGCAGCTTCTTGTGATGATGCAGTGAATTTGATACAGGTAAGCAGCTTCTTGTGATGATGCAATGAATTTGATACAGGTAAGCAGCTTCTTGTGATGATGCAATGAATTTGATACAGGTAAGCAGCTTCTTGTGATGATGCAATGAATTTGATACAGGTAAGCAGCTTCTTGTGATGGTGCAATGAATTTGATACAGGTAAGCAGCTTCTTGTGATGATGCAATGAATTTGATACAGGTAAGCAGCTTCTTGTGATGATGCAATGAATTTGATACAGGTAAGCAGCTTCTTGTGATGGTGCAATGAATTTGATACAGGTAAGCAGCTTCTTGTGATGGTGCAATGAATTTGATACAGGTAAGCAGCTTCTTGTGATGGTGCAATGAATTTGATACAGGTAAGCAGCTTCTTGTGATGGTGCAATGAATTTGATACAGGTAAGCAGCTTCTTGTGATGATTATTTGACCCGTGAAGATCCGGGGTAGAATAGGTCTTCAGCAACCCATGCTTGCCATAAAAGGCGACTATGCTTGTCGTAAAAGGCGACTAACGGGATCGGGTGGTCAGGCTCGCTGATTTGGTTGATGCACGGTCATCGATCCCAATTGTGTGGATCGATGCTCATGATATCAATTCCTGGATTGTCTGGTCCAGACTCGATTATTTACAGACCGCCGTCATATAGCTGGAATATTGCTGAGTGCGGCGATAAACAACAAACCAACCAACCAACCAACTTGTGATGATTAAGTTAGAGTCTAAGAGCCTGGACTTGTCTGTCCTGCATCGGAAGGTCTTAACTATACAGATTATTATCATGATTATTAACTTGATGGAAGTGTTCTTGACTCAGCCACACAGACTTGAGTGGGGTACAGTGGCTGTAATTGCAAAGTGGTTTAAGTGTGTCATGCGAAAGAACTTTTCTAAAAAACATGGTTATTTTTTTTGTTCAAACGCTGTGGTCACAAAAAGGCCTGTATCATTCCTTGTTGTTTAATACAGATTGTCCCAGTTGGGTGTTCACATGCTGTTGTTAGGCTAGTTATTTCCTGTTTTTTGTGGTTGTATTTTCCCTGCTCATAAGCAGCAGTTTGGCTTGACCCACCAAACCCGATTTGTCTCCTTGTGAGAGGAGGCGCGGGAAAGCCCACTACTACAATATGTTTGGACTGGAGAAAAACACACAATACATTGTTTGTTGTTTGGGGAAGGGAGATTATTTTTTGTGGGCTATGCCAGACTGTTTTGTTGGTAAACACTCTTGACGTTTTTTAAGATGGCATCTTTCTGGTATATACATGATATACTCAGGCCGGCCTCTACACATATGACTTTCATGAGTCCAGAGGGATGGTGGTTGGCCTAGTGGTTAAGGTGTTGGCCTGTCGTGCCGTAGGACCAGGTTTGATTCCCCCATGGAGTGGGTGAAGCACATTCTTGATGTTCCCCGGTATGCTAGAACATTGCAAGACGTGGTGTAAAATGCTAAGCCCTCTCTGATTATTAAAAACAGAGAACAACATTAGCATAATTGGGGGGGGGGGGGGGTGTGGAGATTGCAAATTCATGTACAACATGACATTAATGTAATAAGGGTGAGATTAAAACTACATGACATTAACATGTGAGGTGAGATTAAAAATGTAACTTGACATTAACATGGTGAGGGTGAGATTAAACATATAAACTGACAATAGCCAGTTTAGGGTGAGATTAAACTACAAATGACTTTAACATGTTGAGGGTGAGATTAAACATATAAACTGACATTAACCAGTTTAGGGTGAGATTAAACTACAAATGACATTAACATGTTAAGGGTGAGATTAAACACATAAACTTACAATAACCAGTTTAGGGTGAGATTAAACTACAAATGACATTAACATGTTGAGAGTGAGATTAAAAATAAACATGACATTAATATATTGAGGGTGAGATTACAATTTTATGGATAAATACTTAAGGTATATTAATCCTTAATCCTTATTGTACATCTGACTCCATCCAATTGTCTGTGTGCTCTTTGTTATCAGTTATCCATCTGATATTTTTAATCAATTGCCTGTAGTTGTTAATATTTATGTGCTGCTGTCACAGCATGTCATGTATACAGGGTTAGAAATTGGCACTAGTCCTATAGTCCTTGCCAAACTGCCCAATGGTAAAGGTATCATAAGGATTAGTAGAAATTTGCCCCTTTTAAGGGTTTTGCTATATGTTATCATTATAAGGACTAGTGGACGAAAACTGTTAGTTTGTATATACTATATACCTCTCATCACTTGGTTGTAGTCACTCCAGCTTGAGAATGGTGAAAGAATCTACATCGTAATGTCGCTAATGCAATAAACCTTAAGTTGTTTTCCATCAAGTTCTACCTTTTCTTATGTTGAAAAAAGACATTTTAAACATTTTTATATGGCTCTAATGCATTCACAAAGCCGGTTAAACAAATGTGCCCCTGTCATCTCCCGCAAGCGATGATATATAGGCTGTTTCAAGTATGACAGGCCATCAGGAGGGCTTACTGTTGTGCAGCTGTGACAGTGGTTCAGGTTTACACACAGCCGGGGGCAGTAGCCGAGCAGCACAACATATAATATGCAGGTGCAGAGCTCCAGATAAGCTTTTGGTGTTGTGGGTATTTTACCCATGCATTTTAAAATCATTGGGTATCAGTAATTCTGTGTGGGTATTCAAATTTCTTTTGCCCACTAGTTTTTACACATGTGGGTATTTAAGTTAAATATTTAAAAACACTATTCATCTAGTCCCTGCAAATTGGTGTCGTGTGGGTTCGAGAGCTTTGTAGGACTAAAAAATACCACAATACTTCCATAAGAAAGTGTGATGGCAAATGATCATGATGTAACTGTCATCGTGGAGTTTGGCAACGTTGACGGAATGCCCGTTTATAATTTCAAAATAAGTGGCTGATTTGTTAATCAAATACGCAGGGTTACTTCACAATATTTTGATGATACACACAAGTTTTATTTTTGTAGTGTATCTGTAATGTTCGTAATGTATTTGATATGCTTGGATTTTATTTTACTGCATATTTCTACATATCTGATGAGTATTTAATGCAGATACGCAGCTTATCTGGTGCTCTGTATGTGCAAAGGAATTTTACAAGATAATGTGTGCTAGGTTAGGAACTGCAGTCATACTGACAGAAAATATTATGTAACAGGTATATTTATTATGGTAGATTATATACACATGTATTTACAGGATGAAAATTGGGACTTGATACATGTATGTTTTGTCCAAAGATCTGGTTATACATTAACATTGACACTGCCAGAAGTTTGGGATACAGAGATCTGTATGCTAACCATGCTAACTAGATACCATATTTTATATATTTTGTGCTAGAATTAATTCCAGCCATTTGACAATAAAGTGGGGTCAATTTTATTTAATTTTTGTATTGTGGGGATTCTTAAAATGGAGTTGCCAGCAACCTGTTAGAAGTAATAGCTGGTTTGGACATCTCTTCGTTTGAAGCCTAGTTACCAAGATCTTCTCAGCTCACTTCCGATACAGACATACCCACAAAGTGAAATGAGTTGTATGTCTCACTCACTCACTCACTCACTCACTCACTCACTCACTCACTCACCCACCCACCCACCCACCCACCCACTCACTCACTCACTCACTCACTCACTCACTCACTCACTCACTCACTCACTCACTCACTCACTCACTCACTCAAACTCCCACCCACCCACTCACGTTCTTACTCACTCACTGTTTCAGGTTTTTCACTGTCACTTCAACAGCAACTTCTTCCCCCTGTTCCTGGAGAACCTGCTGGGAGATGCCATCAGCCCTAGCACCGGCTCCTTTCTTATAGGTGAGAGAAATAGCTGAACAGTGAAACCTTGTTAATCTGGACCCTGTTAATCCATGTTCTGGATGATCTTGATGGGAGCCTTTACATATAACATTATTCCATACACTTGATTTTTGATTTTGAACTCTGGATGATTTCCCTTCGACTCGTAATGTTCAAATCAACAAGGTTTCACTGGGTACTGGGCTTGTTATTTTTGTGCTAGTGCCACAGGGATTCTTTTGACAAGCAGCAAGGATCACACTAGTCTGTCCAATATCAAGGATTTAGGCTTTGGTTTGTTTATCTGGATGTGGAAAACAAAATATTATGAGGGACAGTCTTTCTGTCACCCGTGGACATTTTGGGTAGGAATACAGGTGCCTAACAACCAGTGCTTGTCAAAAGAGGCGACTGAGTGGATCAGGTGGTCAGACTCGGTTACTTGGTTAATTGCGTGTCATCGTATCTCAGTTACGTAGATCGATGCTCATGATGTCAGTGACTGGATTGTCTGATCCAGACTATATTGCGATATTAGTGACATGAAATAATAAAAACATTAGAGATTACTTGTGTTGTGGCATTTTTCATTAAATCTGTAAAAGATATGTGATCATGCCTAACGAATACTGTTCACATTTATGAAAGTTTCATATGTCATAATTTCTTATAGCACATCATAACAATTGTAACATTTCTTTGCAAGCAAGACTTACCATGCTTACACATCCATATGTCTGGTATGAGGCGTGAAAGTCAATTAAGGTGTTCTTGTTTAGAAGAATATTGCAGAATATTTCCAGGGCCCCAGGGTCAACAATAGCCAATAAGAAGGCAGCTAAATCGAGCTTTACGGCAAGAGTTTCAAACTGGCAACTACACTTCGAAACATATTTTGACTTATACACGATTAAAAATTAAGAACTGAACAAAAGAACATTCTTGAATGCCTAATACATGATCTAGATTGTATAAATACAGACATAAAGCCCATATCTGTTGTTCAGAATGCCCTGCATGTTTTTTTTCCGGGGTTGCAAGATAAAAAATCACATTCTGACTGTCACTTTCATGATCTGATAAGCGATGCTCTGATTGGTCAGATGAAAGGTAGTTCTGACATGACCCACAATGGGATGTCCTTAGATCTTTGTTTAGCGGTAGCGCGAACTAAGATCATTCTGATTTTAATGAGATTGATTGTCTATTCGAGCAAGCAAAACTTGCTATCCACTCCTCTTCCTATGGGTAAGTGGATCATTTTAACTTAGAGGTGAACAGATACATACTAAAGTATGCATTGTGGTCCTGTTATTATGCTGTCTGGTTATTATGAGGGGTCAGTGCATCTACATGTATCTGGCTTGATGTTTTTTTTATCTATTTCATTAATTTTATTTGTAGTTTCATTCAATAGGGTTGACATTATTTTTGGTGAAATCGTGTGTGGAACTGATCTGCAATGTCTTTCACTTCAGTCAATGAAAGGTTTAAGGCAACTTGAAATTCAATTGGGGCAAGTGGCTTTAGCTTCTTTACTTCTCCTTGGGCAAGTGGATTTTCATAAAAAAATTTTTTTTAATAAAAATGTACCATGGTGTCTCCGTGGTCTGGGGGACAGAATATCTGCCCGGAGAGAAGAAGGTTGCTGGTGCGATCCCAGGCCTGTCATACCAAAAGACATTAAGAGATGGTACTTGTTGTTACCCTGCCTGTCGCTTGGCATTAAGGGGATGAAACAAGGACTGGTCAGCTCGGAGTCAGTATACTGTGTCTGAGTGGGGTATTCATGTTAAACTGCAACAGAAATCAGGAGTTGTACAAGCAGGCCAGCACACACGTATGTCTTTTAAGTGCAATTATCTTGAACGCGATGTTTACCTCACCTCACCACCAGATAATATTTAGCAGACATCCCCAATTGTAACGAATGTAACACGTGCTTCTCTCTGCTGCAGGTATCTCATTTGTAGCGCCACACATCAACAACCTCTACTTCCTTCAGCTGTGTCGGAGGTTTGGTGTGTACTCGGTCATCAACTTCCTGTTTGTCGTGAAGCTGACACTGAGTATCATCATGTTGGTGGTGGGGCCGTCACAGATATGGCTGTTGTGCATCTATATTGCAAGGTAAGTTGCAGTCAGTGTTCGAAACAGCTGCCTGCCCGTCTGCCAAATGCCAGTGACTTCTAAATTGGGCTAGTAACATTTCCGTTAAGCCGGCCTGACTGTCCAGTTGAAAATTTTAGTCAATGCATATTCATTTTACAAATCATCAATTATTTAGGGCTGGGATGAGTCCATATTTACTACCCAGCTACCCGGGTACCCGACCCCCTATTACCTGACCCTACCCGGGTACCCATTGTAGGTCTCATGGTTGGGAACAAACCGTCTGATTGGGAATTGTTTTACCGCAGCCCTGGCCAAAACTATTTAAATACATGTACATGTATCAAACATGTATGCGTCCTACTCAGGACCCACCCGACCCGGGCTACCCATCCCAGACAAACGTAGAGTACCAAACAGCTTCACCGTTGTTTCGTGTGATGGTATCAAAACACACAAAGTACATTCAGGTTAACACAAAATATGTAAGATGTAGCAATAAAGTAGGGCTTGTAAAATATGTTGAGGGCTTGCAAAATTATTTTTTAACGAGCCCCCAAGGCCAGTGAGCTTTGAGGACTAATTCTTACACTGGTTGCAATGCCATAATCATCTGTAGTTACTGACCCACTGATTCTTAGCAAAAAAAGTTAAAATATAGTTAACCATAATGAGGTTATACAAACACTGCACATTAATGGCACAATATTCTTGTGATAAAAACTGAATAAAATGGGGATTGGTTATTTGCCTAGGCTGAATAAATTGAAGTGTCATCGTACCGCAAAAGTGTGGGTAGGTGCTCATGCTCTCAATCACTGGTTTGCCTTGTCCAGACTTGATAATTTTAATACTGTCATGATGTGTCTGGAATATTGCTGGCTTGCATTAAACATCATTTACTCACCATGCTTAATATCGCTAGTGCTTGCATTTCGGTCAACCTTCACTAACCCCTGGAGCCATTCCCATGGTTCTCGCAATCTCAGATTAATTGCCCTTTGTTTTCATTAACCAATTTTAAAACGAAGTTGCGTGAATTTTAATGGCAGTTGGATAGATGTGATCAATTTGCTAACACTCCAATAGTTTGAGTATGGGTACTAAATCGTCCCATAGTCTTCCTTGAAAGGTTCCCCTCCTATAGTTAAACAAGAGCGGTCACCCTCCCATAGTATAGCATAGTATAGTGAACATCACTTGAACGTTAGTTTGAGGCATTCACTTGATCGAACTTTGTTTTAAGTAGGAGAAAGTCCTCAATCTCGCGATTATTTTCGCACGTGAAACTTGTTCTCGGCCTAACAGCCTCTAACAAGCTTCACGTGCGAAATAATCGCTAATTTGGACATTCTCCTATAGTGAATTGCTATGCCACTCGGTCTAACAGACCAAGGTTTAGCAAAATGAGAGCCTTGGAGATATAGAGAATCTCACCAGAGTGTCTTTTGATATCAAATATATCAACACGAGATGATAAAAGTGGAAAAATTCCGAGGCTTGCCGAGGATTTTTGCCACTTTTATCAACGAGTGTTTGTAGACAGTTTGTAGACAGTAATTAGCAGTGTCTTCAGTGTAAAGAGTGGGGTTCATTGTAAAGAGTGTAAAGAGTACTGCTTACAGCTTCAGTAGCAGAGCCATTAGTGATGTCATTTGATTGTGATGTCATGGTAACCAGTGATGTCACAATGGTCTGCAAAGCATTGTGATGTAATTTCATTGCAGCGATATCTACAGTGTAGATATTGCTTGATCTCATCCAAGCGATATCTCCTGTGGGAGCCAGTTTTGGATGATAAATAGAGGGTGTTCATTCACGGACCGATGATCTTACTGCTTGCAGTAACCGGGTGTTCACCGAGGGCACCTGTCGGCTGCTGAACCTGGTGATTAGTGACCTGGTAGATGAGGACTATGTCATCCACAGTCGACGCCAGCCGGTTGCAGCGCTCATGTTCGGTACAGCTGCACTGGTGTCCAAGCCAGGACAGACGTTGGCCCCTCTTATAGGAACGTGGATACTCAGTTTGCAGACAGGTGGGAAACATCCTGAGGAATAACACTGGAAGGAACTACATGTATCCATAAAATTCAATACGGTTTCTATCCAAGTAATAAATAGGTAACTGACATAACATGCAGATATTCATGATCAATTCTGTACAGGGAAATGCTGTTCTGGCATATGCATGGCTTTGAACTTTACAGTTTTCAAGTAGCATCGTTTGGTAACTTTGAAGGCATTCTAGTCTTTTTTGCATTCTTTATGGCACACCTGAGATAATACCAAGGCAATATGTCTCATGTTTCATATATATAGAATACTAAACGAGCTCCCGTGTAATACCAATTTTATGAAACGAGTGAATAGTTGTGGTATCTGACGAGCGAAAGCGAGTCAGATACCATAACTATTAACGAGTTTCATAAAATTGGTTTTACACGGGAGCGAGTTTAGTATTTTATTTATTACTGGCTATTTATAACGTTTTTAGAATTATACTGTTGAGTGTGAATAGGCTGACACCTACACGATCCACGGCATAATCCAATTGAGTTTAACACAGTAATACTTCAAACACGTCAAAAGTTGAAACGTATGAATTTAATACCAGACAACAGTCCACCTTTAGAATTCAGACGTCCGTTCCACAAAATTATCGTAGCGTTAAGGTTATCGCAACTCATATACTTTAACTTAGACCAACGACTGTCGTCGCGCTACCGTACGATCGCCTTGTGGAACGGGGCCTTGCACCTCAAAGTTTACAATCACGTCACAATACCCGATGACGTAATTTGTGGAATTTTGTTGCAAGATCCTTTAGGCGAAACAATGCCATGTGACGTCAACCTAGCAACAAGGTTGCTGGGGTCATCGAGTGTGCATAAGCTCCTCTCAGTGATCTATCATCTCCACACGCAATGTCGTTGAATAAGCCAAGGGATGTTGAGAGCTTTCAAAATTTGTGAAACGTGTTCCGAGAGTACATAAGCACGCGTTTTGGTATTACACAATGTGTAATACAGCTGTATGTTTATTAAACGGGTGATCTCTTCACGGGCAAGTAATAAACTATATTTTTAGTTGGCATGTCCCACTTCCTAATTCCTGAAAGCTTTTAAGAACAATGATGTAAAATTACTATGTAATTAGAGTTGAAGTTTATTAAAGAATTGCCTTCCACTTTGTGCGAGTGCATTGGAGTATGAAGCTTCAAAGTGTGATGGCAATACTGTTGGAATGTCTGAGGTTTTGACATTACCTGGGCCCGCTTGCACAAAGCGATCTTAGCGCTAAGATGATCGTAATTCCCATGCTTTAACATAGGCTTACAATAGTCATAGCGCTAAGATCGCTTTGTGCAAGTGGGCCCTGGTCCATAGGTAACATCATACAAATATGCCATGAAATAAGTGCAATCTCAGTTTTCATAAATATTGTGTTAATACCATACACGTTCATGTAAAAAACATGAAATTACTATTTTGTTATCAGTGTTTAAATCTTTTCCCACCCAGGTCATGACATATTCCAGTCAGGCAATGAGGCAGGTTCCATCAAGCTGAGTTACCACGACATGGACACGGGAACCCGGGCCCTTCATCGCCAGGGCTGCTTCCAGCTCCTTGTCTACGTCCCCATCATCTGTGCAGCATCCCAGCTGCTTGTGTGGACACAGTTCTCACTCCATGGACGCCGTCTTGCGCAGATCAAGTCACTCAGAGAAGGAGGATATAGTGGCTCCCATGTGTAGATCAAGTGTTCATTGGGTAGAAGGAGCGTTCAATGTGTAGAGGGAGCGTCCAGTGTTAAAAGGGAGCGTCCAGTGTTAGGAGGGAGCGTCCAGTGTTAGGAGGGAGCGTCCAGTGTTTGGAGGGAGCGTCCAGTGTTAGGAGTGAGCGTCCAGTGTTAGGAGGGAGCGTCCAGTGTTAGGAGTGAGCGTCCAGTGTTAGGAGTGAGCGTCCAGTGTTTGGAGGGAGTGTCCGTTGCCTAATACCCTTGAAGAAGACTCGTCCCATTCACATGATACAGATCGAAATCTTCAAAAATACAAACCTATCCATATGCTTGTACAACTTCACCTACCTTGGACAAAGATCCTTCCTTGTAATGTTATGCCTATGTTCTTTTCACCTGAAAATCAAACCATGTGACAGGGGCATCCCCTGAACCTGACCAAATCTCACAAAAGTCCCAAATGCTTGTGAACATTACCCGAGCCATTTCAGAAATATCCAATTCTATTTGTTGTAGTGGTTCCACCAAGTTGACTATTTTTATGCTATACCTTCTCATGCTTAGGTGGAAGTCAGTAAAATGACAGAGACAGGAGTTGCTCTTCTAGTGTTTTCGAAGGGAGAAGAATTGTGATGTAATATAGAGAATGTTCTATGCCTATGTTTGTGAGCATATTAGGGCAGTGTATATCCGTGAAGATGAAATCGTAACCAGTGTTTGAAATATGCATGGTCATAGGTCCTTGACATGATCCAACTGAGAAGATTACGGGGTCCTGAGATGAACCAGCAATAGCCTCAAACCTCAAGGACTTGGTGATCCTCATAATTTGGAACACTTGTGTCGTATGTTTATTCGTACAGAGCAGGATCATTGCTGTTGGTCTCGGCAATATTCAGAGAAAAGTTGTCATGCATCAAGGAATTATCAGTGATCTCTTCCCGCAGGACTACGTCCCGAGTCATGTGACCCTCAATCAGTTGACTGTGTGGGATATCTGTGATAGAAGCCTTCAGTCCAGGAAACACATTTTAGTCGAGAAACATGGGAGATTTTAATGTTAAAATATGGTGAAAGATTTATCTGTCTGAATCTGTTATTTGTTTGTATGTTTTCTGGACAGGGATATATATGTTGGTACCCACAAATACTACTGGACAGTTGGTGTACATTATCTTGCCAGATGCCCTGTTGAAGCCTTGAGGAAAGCAAGTCACATTAAACTCACATCTTCTACTCTGAGCTGATACCAACCTCTCTGTGAAGATCTGACAACCTTTCCTTGTAGGTCACGTCAAGTGAACCTCAACCAGTCAGCGTTGAGGCTGGTAAATTCTTGGTACAATTGTAGGAATGATTCTGACTGGCATTTCTGTTTTCTTTATCTCAAAAACGAACTGAAAAGGCCAGTTCCATATGTAAATAATTAAGGCTGTGCCTTTTTATTGCTGTGGCTATGCGCCCTGTTGTTTCAGAGAACCATTGCATCAAAATCAAAACTGGACTGCTGTCAAAGGAATATTTGTATTCTGTGTGGGTTTGACTTTGTCATCTAATCAATTTCTGAATTGATGTGGTAAAGAAATAAAGATGCTACTTTTCAGGAAGCTGACAGCTAATTGGCTCAAGTACCCACACATTCTCATTTAGATTGACTCAAGTACCCACACATTATTGATTCTCATTTTGATTGGGCGCTCAAAGTTCGCTCTCTGTTCACCTGACTCGACCTGCTATGGCAGGGGTTGTCAGATCTTAATGCAGAGAGATATCGTATCAGAGTAAACCATCTCATGTTGGCAGAAAGCAATATAGAAGCCATGTTAACTGAGCCAGTGTTGAAATGTTTCTGAGACAGCACTACTGGGCTGCAGCGTGACTTGACATTGTGTCAGTGAATTTCATTAGGTTAGTATTACGACCATGTTCATACTGACAAATGCATTTCATGCCCATCTCCTGGATTTTTCATAGTATGATGATGAAGAGCCTTACCTTTAGTGCCCTAGATGTTGTGTGTACCTGTGTACGTGGTGCAGTACAAGGGAGACAACTCTAAATCCACATCTTGTAGTGTTCCTTTATAGGAAATTTCCGAATGTTCATTCTTGAAGACCCTTGAAATATCCACATTGTAACAAGGTAAAGATACCTTCCTCTAATTCTTAAGTATTAATTGTTAAGAATATTTGTTAAGAATATTTGTTATGTTGTGAAATATGTTTCATTTCTAATGATGTTAATTTGTCTTTGGTGGTTCGAATGACTGAATTTGATACATGCATAAAATGATTGTGATTAGCAGTGAATTCCAAAGTCCTCATCGTGATGTGGAATGTGTGTGTTTCCTTGGTGTTTTTGTTAATACTGTTCCTATACCAAAGACCGAGGGCACTATCCGCAAAGGGTTTGTAGCACTACGGTTTTCATAAACCTATGATGAACTATATAGTTACGATAGCTTGTAACGCTACGAACACTTTGTGGACCCTGGAAAACAGATGACTCATCAGCTTTATGTGAGGATGAGGCCCTTCCCTCTACCCTCTAAAATTGATGTGTTAAAGTCATGTGAACTCTCTTCATAATGTTACTTACTAATGCTCCAAAAGACGGGTATGAGGGATGTATTTGTCCCACAGGATCTGCATAATTATTCAGAGCAAACTTTTTAGAATTTTTTTATAAAAGTTATCAGATGTATTCAGAGAAATGAGAATCAGACTTTTTGTCTCTTCAACATTGGTATGTTTTAGACTGGAAACATCATCAAATGTGGAGTAAGACTAAAATGTGTCATAAAGGCTGATTTTCAGGAAGTGTCTCTCTAACATTTGAACATGAGTGGGTCTTTGACCTAAGTTGATTTTCATAAAATATGTTGATGAAGACAGTCCAAACCTTTGGTAAAAATATCATCTTGGGTCACAGACTTCCTCACAGTAAAACAAATAGCCATTCTTATGTATTTGAACATGTCAAAAGTCCAAAACCTGAACATGTAAGAAAAAAAGGCTTGTTGTCAGTCTTTTGACCATGTTGCATAATTTTCATACCAATAGTTCAAAGTTTTCTGTAACTTTCAAATTGACATTTTCAGTGAGCCTTTGTCATTCGAAACAGTACAATTAGATACCTCGTCCTTTAAAAGGGAACACTTGACACCTCGTCCTCTTCTCTGTCCTTTGTTGATGGCCATGTCATTGTCTTGATACACATTATTTATTTGTTCTGTGGCCTTCTGCTTCTGTGATCAAAGGTCAGCTGACAATCAAATTGTGTCACCCTCTGAGAAAGGGGAGAACCTGTAGGTTATATTTTTATATGGAGATTGATGTCTGTCAGATGATTTATAAAATGACAATGTTATTTTGCTGGTATCTGTCTCACAAGTTCCAATGATGCATGGTTTCCACCTTTGTTGAGTCAAATGAAGGACATTTATGAGATCTCAAAATATTGCCACATATTTGTTCAATCAGATAGTCAGTATACGTCCTTACAACAAAAGAACAGATTACAAAATGCCTCAAAATAAAAAAAATCACATGTACCGTGTTCGACGTAATAAGCGCCCAGGGCGCTCTCAAAATTAGAAATAGGGGGCTCTTATTAGAATATTATTTTGGTGAAAAACAACAGAGTTGAAAGATAAATTAAGGGTGCATATAACACACGAGTGCGTATTATTCGCGAATAAATAAGTCTTGTGTACATTGATCAATCAGAAGGGGTGCTAATTGGGATTGTTCAATATATTAGCAAATATCGCCGTGGGCGCTTATTAGAGCGGGGCGCTTATTACGTCGAATACGGTATAATAAACAATTTTTCATGGATTTGCAGGCTATGTATATAGAACTGTTTTCACCTTAAACAGGACACTGAGTAGTTGGAGCTGGTGAGTTTGATCTGCATCAGAGAGATGATTTATCTAGGATTCTAAACTTCAGACCCTTGGCAGGCAAATTTGGAATAAAAATCATTATTTTGTTCAAAGATATATTTTTTGATTAGGAAGTATATTAACATTGCATTCAGTGCAATAATGTGAGACTAAGCATTAAAACTTCTACCGCTTTATAAGGTTTTCAGTGATATACAAATCACATGAACATGATGAATTCGGTGATAAAGGGTGATAGAGCAACAGTGTCTACTCACCTGTAAGGTCAGGAAAGGACTTGTTTGTTCTGCTGCTATCTCTCACAGCTGTACCCGAGCAATACGATATTGATGTACTGCAGCAAGTCTTTCCATGATACAACGCTTTCCTTATTGGTAATGATAACAATTTATAGGTAGAAATAATCTCTGTACAGGTGTGTGTTCATTAACTTGAATCAGTTCATGCATCTAACTTCTAATAGTTGTGACTGTTGATATGTGTGAAGCATCTATTAATGTGAAATATGTAAGTATGGCCTGACCAATATATTTGCTGTACAGATTTCTTTGTCAATATGCTATTTAGAAATATATTGCAGGGATGATTAGAGGTTTATTTCCCAAATAATATATGGAAATAAAAAAAAATATACAAGCAAATAAATTGCATATTTTCAACAAAATAAAGCATTTTTTACTCTTTGACTTAGAAAATATATAACTGGAGATTTAAGCCCAGGAACTGTAAAATCAAGAAATGATCATTGGTTGACGAGTGTATGGTAGGGAGAAGAGATGTACAAGTGTTGTTCCTGAGACTGGGGGACCAGTCGTGCCATGCTGGTCATCATGACAGAGATGCAACTTTACCTGATACAATCACCCCATAGGATAGCTTTAACAGTAGACAAAATGACTTGTGTCAGCAGACAACTGCCTACTGTACATATTTGTTCTTGTATGTAGGTGAGTTGATGAAGGTGTGAGATGAATAATGCGTTGATACATACACTTGAACCTCTTTACCTCCAACTCTGATGGGGGGCACGGGTGGCCCAGTCGTCTAAGGCGCCGCGATTCGCTGTGCAGAGTTGCGTCCCTTGGGCACGCCAGAAACCTATGATTGTGGGTTTGAATCCCGGTTCACCCCGATTATGTTTCTAGGTTTGTCAGCACCATACCCGTGCTCGTGGGTTTCACCGAAGTGGTAAACGTCTGAGACCTGCATCACTTCGGGCTTTCCTCCCACATTAAGCTGACACGCCATGATATAACTGGAATACTGTTAAAAGCGGCGTTAAACCCAACTCACTCACTCACTCACTCCAACTCTGATGTATCAAACACTGTTACTGTATTTTCAACAGTAGAAACCCTGTTCACTGAGATATATCAGCGTCCTGACCCTGTGTAGGTGTAGGTGAGTTGATAAAGGTGTGAGATGAATAATGTGTTGATACAGACACTTGAACCTCTTTACCTCCACCTCTGATGTATCAAACTCTGTTACTGTATTTTCAACAGTAGAAACCTGTTCACTGAGATATATCAGTGTCCTGACCCTGTGTAGGTGTAGGTGAGTGGATGGAGGTGTGAGATGAATAATGCGTTGATACATACACTTGAACCTCTTTACCTCCACCTCTGATGTATCAAACTCTGTTACTGTATTTTCAACAGTAGAAACCTGTTCACTGAGATATATCAGTGTCCTGACCCTGTGTAGGTGTAGGTGAGTGGATGGAGGTGTGAGATGAATAATGCGTTGATACATACACTTGAACCTCTTTAACTCCAACTCTGATGTATCAAACTCTGTTACTGTATTTTCAACAGTAGAAACCTGTTCACTGAGATATATCAGTGTCCTGACCCTGTGTAGGTGTAGGTGAGTGGATGGAGGTGTGAGATGAATAATGCGTTGATACATACACTTGAACCTCTTTACCTCCACCTCTGATGTATCAAACTCTGTTACTGTATTTTCAACAGTAGAAACCTGTTCACTGAGATATATCAGTGTCCTGACCCTGTTAGTTCAGCTAGCATATATGCCGACCAGACAATCAACAGGGACCATAATTCTGTATGTACCCCCAAATATATTTTCAGGGCTGACACACCATATACTTTCCCTGTTTTGTGGACATGAAGTGTCTGTGTGGGAGGTGGGTAGCCCAGGTGTTAAAGCGTTTGCTTTCCATACTGAAATCCCATGTTTGATTCCCTACATGGGTGCAATGTGTTATGCCCCTCTGAGGTGTCCCCCACAGTGATATTGTCGGAATATGACTAAAAGCAGCATTAAATCTAACTCTCACTTGCCATGTTATGTTCATAAGTTTGCCTTATTTTTCATTATACCTGTATCACAAGTTTCAGTTTGCAGAACTCTTGTGATTTTATTAAGATTACTGTTTTCGGAGGCATATGGGTAGCAAAGAGTTTTTGAGGGGTTAAGGAATTCATTCTTCATACCAAAGACCAGGGTTCGATTCACAATGTTGGTGCAATGTGTGAAGTCCATGTTTGTGTTTTGCTCCCCAGCTGCACTGTGATATTGCTGGAATATTGATAAAAGCAGCATACCCACTGGTCTTAAGTCAAGCTGCTCACATATGAGCTTTAAATGCTGATTGGCATCACCTCATCTAATTTTCACAGTCTGTTTTTGGAGATGCCAGTTTTCAAGGTCATTGGCACCCTCAGGTTGATGGTAACAAGGCTCGACTGTATTTCAGATTTTTAATTAATCTCCCTGATCCAACTGTTGACATTGTTTTGATATGCTTCTACTGAACAGTTTATTCTTTATATCGTCCTATTTTCAGGATTTATAGAAGAATATATTTTTGTTGTTGATTCATATTTATTTTATTACACATGTGCATGGTTGTAGTGAAAGTGCAATGCTTTTTGTACAGTACTGAATAATATGTATGTTTCTTTAGATGAAATTTGTGAAATTTATGAATTATTTACTAAATTTGTTTTTATTCAAATGGAAGACCTACTCAATGCAATATATATCCATTTTGTGAACATTCATGCATCCTAAAAATGTTCAATGTCCTATGAATAATATTTCTCATAACTTCATTTTACAGCATTAAGACATTATATTTATTAAAGCGATATGTACAACATGTCTCATATTATGGTGACAAGGTCATAAATCTCTTTGAATTTCAATCTTTATTCTACAAAAAAAAAGGAGACAAAAGTAACTGTGATAATTATTTCACTTGTCATTTGTGACAACTAAAAACCCCTCCACTTTCTTGTGTTAGCATGGTTAGTAATGGTGAAGATGGACCCTATCAGCTTTTGAAAATTTTACTTAATTTTTTTTTTTATCCAGATACAAAATTTCAAAATGGAATCATTCGTAGCAAAGGTTTTGTTCATTCAACAAATTGAAGTGTACTGAATGGTTAGTTTCTCTCAGAAATTGGAAAGAAACTTGAGGCGTGACTCCTTTGGGCCCGAACACTCCATTAAAAATATGACCAACCTACCTTGATGTGTCTTAACCAGTGTAATGTTTTTTGTACATTGTTAGAAGATTGATCAGTCTCATAGACCATATGGTCATGGTCATCATTACTGATTTTCAGTGTCCAGTTATCAGTACATTTATGTAATCACAGTGACTTTTAAATTTGAATAAAGATATATTATACATCTCAGCTCTCTATTGTTGCTACTTATTTTTATCCCCCGCCGCGCGAAAGCGCGAAGCGGGGGATATAGTATTCACGACCGTCCGTACGTCCGTCCGTACGTCCCACCTGTTTGTTGCCGCGATATCTCAAGAACTAAACACTGGATTGTCTTCATATTTGGAACTATGGTGTATATACAGACTCCGCAGACACCAGTCGGTTTTGGTGACCTTGATCCCATTTTCAAGGTCACAGCAGACAAATCTGCTTTTAGAGTTGGAAAACGGTGTTGCCGCGATATCTCAAGAACTAAACACTGGATTGTCTTCATATTTGGAACTATGGTGTATATACAGACTCCGCAGACACCAGTCGGTTTTGGTGACCTTGATCCCATTTTCAAGGTCACAGCAGACAAATCTGCTTTTAGAGTTGGAAAACGGTGTTGCCGCGATATCTCAAGAACTAAACACTGGATTGTCTTCATATTTGGAACTATGGTGTATATACAGACACCGCAGACACCAGTCGGTTTTGGTGACCTTGACCCCATTTTCAAGGTCACAGCAGGCAAATCTGCTTTTAGAGTTGGAAAACGGTGTTGCCGCGATATCTCAAGAACTAAACACTGGATTGTCTTCATATTTGGAACTATAGAGTATATACAGACTCCGCAGACACCAGTCGGTTTTGGTGACCTTGATCCCATTTTCAAGGTCACAGCAGGCAAATCTGCTTTTAGAGTTGGAAAACGGTGTTGCCGCGATATCTCAAGAACTAAACCTCTCGATTGTCTTCATATTTGGAACTATGGTGTATATACAGACACCGCAGACACCAGTCGGTTTTGGTGACCTGGACCCCATTTTCAAGGTCACAGCAGGCAAATCTGCTTTTGGAGTTAGAAAACGGTGTTGCCGCGATATCTCAAGAACTAATCGCTGGATTGTCTTCATATTTGGAACTATAGTGTATATACAGACACCGCATACACCTGTCAGATTTGGTGACCTTGACCCCATTTTCAAGGTCACAGCAGGCAAATCTGTTTTTGGAGTTGGAAAACGGTGTTGCCACAATATCTCAAGAACTAATCGCTGGATTGTCTTCATATTTGGTACTATGGTGTATATGGCGGGGGATATTTCGTCACTCTGTGACAAATACTTGTGATGGAAAGGTTTATTGACCTGGTTGATTGCGTGTTATGGTACCCTGTGATGTTTGACACCACTCACAATATCAACCACTGTTTTGTCTTGCGCAGACATGACTTTTAACAACCGTCATGATATATATGTAGCTGGAATATTGCTCACCGAGGAGTGGCTTGTTGTTTAACTATCACTCAGCAATATTACAGCTACATGACGGCGGTCTGTAAATAATAGAGTCTGGACCAGACAATCCAGCGATTGATATCATGATCATCGATCCACGCAATTGGGATCGATGACATGCTTCAACCAAATCATCGAGCCTAACCACCCGATCTCGTTATTCCCCTCTTACGACAAGCGTAGTTGCCTTTTGCGGCAAGCTTGGGTTGCTGAAGACCTTGGAAAATTATTGAAAACTGATTATTCTTCAGGTGTTTTCTTTAAAAGAATATTCAGGCTCACAGTCTTTATTAAAAAAATATGTCTGATTTGCAGCTGCAGATAGAACTTTGCCATCAAACGGTGAATTAATTGCTGTGCTTTTATAGACTGACGGTAAATAAAACCACGACAGCCTAAACAATTAATTAAAATAAATCTTATACTCTGATGCGGTACTCTGCATGCTGAAGATGCCCCCCCCCAAAAAAAAACAACAAAAAAACCCAAAACAAACCCAACTCAACCCCCCCCCCAAAAAAAAACAACAACAAAAACAAACAACAACAAATAAATTAAAAAAAGTAAAAAAATAAAAATAATAATGATAAAAAATATTAATAAAAGTTTGCGTCAAGTGCTAATCAGCTAATCACATGGCGGCTTTCTGAATTGTTTTGGTTTAATTTCTTGACCACCTCGATTTTGATTTTGATTTTGATGGTATTCCCCTTTTAGTAGGTGCAGTAGAGTTGAATAACATCTGGGTGTAAAAAATACACAAAAACACGGCGCGGTCTTTATTATTTTTCATTCGAAATTTCCCGGTTATATTCGTTTTCGAGATACAGAAGTCAGATATGCTGGTCTGAAGGCTTCACTCACTTTTACCTACACATTAGAAGCCTCAGCGCTGATTGGCAGATAGGAAGATTCACTTGACGCAACTTTCTCTGGAGGGGTTGTCAGATATTCGTGCAGAAAGGTAGCCTGTCAGATATAAGGATTTGATTTTAATGATTTTGTACTGTAAACAATTAACAATAGACACAATCTCTGGAAAAGTCTGGAATTTAATGACAGGTGATGATACAATATGCGAAAGAAACAAAAGATGTAAACAAAAGAAAATAATGCACCAGTTGGTCCTTTGGCCCTGTCTAGCAGTGAAGAGGAGGAACATTATAATGACAGTTCTTATTAGGTAACAATAACAAAACAGCATACAGTCACAAAGCCATAACTAAACAAGGCAGAATACAACTGTAGAAAGGGCAATACTAGATTACAATGCTCCAATAAACAATGCCTTTATCCCCACTGGCAAACATATCTTTATCAGTACAGATAACAAACGCAACTGAATGAGATAATCCTACAAAAAGCGACAGATTATATTTCTGTTTAGAGACCGATCGGAGCCAAATGAAATAAAAATAATTGCACTTTTCTCTATCTGGGGAAAAATATAAAGGATACAACTACATAAAGTAACTGCAAAACATATTAAATATTAAGTGATCAAATGTATGTACATGTATCTGCAAGCTGCTTTGAACAAAGTCCTCTCTGACAAGTAAATACACTTGTGAGTGAGTGAGTGAGTAGGGATTAACGCCGCTCTTAACAGTATTCCAGTTATATCACGGCGTGTCAGCTTAATGTGGGAGGAAAGCCCGAAGTGATGCAGGTCTCGGACGTTTACTACTTCGGTGAAACCCACGAGCACGGGTATGGTGCTGACAAACTACACTTGTCATAGAATGGATACGTTCTAAAGTATTTTGGCAAGACAAAGCCTACCAACAAAAACAATATCCATTGGGATAACGATGCACATTCAAGAGATGAGAGTGATACTACTTTCAATGGCGTCGCGGGGGCGGTCGGGTAGCCCAGTGGTTAAAGCGTTCGCTCGTCACGCCGAAGACCCGGGTTCGATTCCCGACATGGGTACAATGTGTGAAGCCCATTTCTGGTGTCCCCCGTCCGTGATATTGCTGGAATATTGCTAAAAGCGGCGTAAAACCATACTCACTCACTCACTCACTTCAATGGCGTCGCATTTTTGTTTTATCTAACGTACAATGAAGCATGTTCATAGTTATAACACGTGTTTGTTATTATCAAAATAATAGTCCAAGTTGTGTCTAATCACTGTCTGTATATACTGGAATCTAGAGTAAACTACGGTTATAACGAACTCATAGGGACTACTTATTTTAGTTCGTTATAACCGTAGTTCGTTATAAGCATATATACAGCATAACTACAGCAAATAGTCGGGACTAAAAAGCAAGTTCGTTATATCCGTCAGTTCGTTATAAGTGTGTTCGTTATAACCGTAGTTTACTGTATATTGCCTGTTTTTGAAAGTAGTTTCAGCATAAATGACTATTTCAATATGTGCTTTTTCACACGTCTGCCAAAACACTCACTCGGGAGAATTACATCTGAATAAAACGGTATATACACATCACTACATACAAGAATAGAGGATATTTATCTTTTCTCCTCGAATAACACATGGCCTGCTTTTCTAATCAAATAACAAGCGATCTTACAAAGATGACATTGTCATGAGTGGTGCTTCCACGAGTTAACTTGTCAACCTTTTCAGTTCACGAAATGAGATAAACATGTTATTTGGCAAGAGAATGCAACTGTTATGTTTATCATATATTTTTTTATTGATCTCACGCGTCTGAAAATCATAGTTTCAGTCAGGCAGAGAGTGAGTGAGTGAAATATCAATGTTTGTTTGTTTTTTAACGCCGCACTCAGCAATATTCCAGCTATATGACGGCGGTCTGTAAATAATCGAGTCTGGACCAGACAATCCAGTGATTGACGTCATGAGCATCGATCCACGCAATTGGGATACGATGACAGAAATATCAATGTCATATGTTCAGATAGATATAGCATATCACAAAATAGTACATGGTATGAAATACATAATATCATTAACCAGGTAGTCTTGTGACATTCCAAAATATACTCTGTGACGGTTGTGTAAATTCCCCGCATATTATGTACAGTGTCTTATGAACTCATTCTTACCTATATAGTGATTACTGTTCACTACAGACAACATTATCATCAACAGAAAACACAAACATCAGGTGTTTATATTAAACAACTATCTTCAAACCTCATGGGGTAAGAGGACTTATAAACCTCTTGCGACGTCATCCTATTGTTCCCCAGTCGGATTAAATCTCATAAACAGGGACGTTGTAATGCCCGGGATTTTATACAATATACCCGGGATTTTATAGGATATTCAAGTCATATTTGCTATATAATGTGTTATAATATCCCAGGGATTTTATATAATGTGCTGGATATTTTATTAATATAACTTCCGTTCAGATTGTAACATGTAATGAAATGTAAAATCAAATGACAAATGTTTTCTTTATATTCCCGAGGATCGAACTCGCATCCTTCATATCTGTAGACCAGTCAGTGTACCACAAGGCTACAGAGGTGTTGATAGGCCGTAATGCTTTTTAGAATGTCTTTTTCAAGATCCGTACGCCAGCAACAGATATTTGACGCCCGTTTCCTAAGGTCCATGGACAGTATGTTCGAAACATAAAAATGTTGATAAATGTTGTTTTAAGGTTCAAAATCGGTTTATAAGTAAGATAAAACACTTCCCCTCGGGTTGTTATGATATTTAAAACCCTTTCCCTCGGGATGCGGGTTTTAAATATCATAACAACCCTGGGACGTGTTTTATCCTATACATATCACCATCATGACCAATAAAGTTACTGTCAATCAAAGAATCCCCTCAAAGCAACTGCAAGCTGCGGAACTCGTACACATAGATAACGGAATGTATCCCAAGTCGTTTTTGACACCATTGATAAAACGATTGCTACCTTGGTCTTTGTGAAAGAATCGTTTTTTACCCAAAGAGAAATTTATTGTTTAATTTCACTTAAAATTGAAAGGAATGGAAGTGTTTGCATTTGTAGACACAAGGGATTTGATTTGAATTGTTTACAAGCTACCTTAACATGAATCAACCGCACTTTTACCTTTCAAAACAGGATTCAAGGCTTGTTATGACAGGGCAGTTTGTAATGCTTCGTTCGACGACCACGAACTACGAGATATGTTTCATACTACGAGCATAGCTTAACATGGACTGTCGTAGCCCTTCGCACGCTTTATGTATTGGGCCCATATCACTGCCTTACTCACTACATCAAGTCAGGTTTGTCTTTGGGTAGATCAGTATCAAGCCAGTTTTGTCTTTGAGTAGATCAGTATCTTATTGAATACATCAAGTCAGTTGTATCTTTGGGTTTTCAGGCTATGTGTAAATCACTCCATGGCAAAATGGCCATATAGGTATGTATCAACAGTTATTGGGCAATGGTGTTTTTGATTCTCTGTCTAAACAGAGCTCTGGCCTCTTCCTCATCTTTCCATTCGATGTACGTTGTTGATATCATCAGAGCACGTAGTGTCGATGTTACGTGACATGGCTGAATCTGCTCGAGAAGAATAACGGCAATTTCTATATCATTCTTCAGATGGGAGCTGAGAGCCACCTGAAGCTCAAACTGGCACCAGTCGCTTTTCATGTACTCGTTAGAGATGACGAGGATGGTCTTTCTGCTGGTCTCCATGGCGTCAAACACGTTGTCTATGATGAATCTACCGGCGGCGAAGTCTCTGCTGTGTTCACACAGTCGCAGCCCAACCTCGCCCTCAAGGAAGTTCAGAAGCTCGTCGTAGACCCAGTCTCCGTCGGGGTTGCTATAGGAGACGAAGGCGTCGTATTTCATGTCTTCTGGAGGACGTCGTTGTTGACGTCTCCGTCTTGGTCGCAGCAGAGAAATCCAGTATAGGAGGTGCCAGCGATACCGATAAACCACCAGTGCAGTGACGGTGAATACCAAACACACAGACAGCGCTATGGTCAGAATAACAGGGTACAACTTTACCACAGCGCACGATTGTTCAGTAGGATTATAATTAGCAAGTCTGATGCGTTTTCCGTCAGGATACGCGCACACGTATCCATCCGGATAATTGGAAAATTTGACGCTTTTATTGGCAATAACCTCCTTCATCCAGTTCCTGAACCACAGAAGGTCACAAGTGCAAGTGAAGTGGTTGGTAGCCAGTCCGATCTCCTTTACGCTGAGCCGAAAGTTGAGAGGAAAGGTGTCCTCCTTAATCATTTTTATATTACACGAGGTCAGGGTGAGCTTTTGTATACTTGTAGCATTCGAAAACACACCACTGGTGAGGTTGGGGAAGTTATTCCCCAGTAAGTTTAACTCTCGTAGTTTCTTCAATTGAGAAAACACACCTGAGGGTAATTCACTGAGTCCCGTGGAGTGCATCAGAAGTTTCTCAATATTTCTTAGGTTTTGAAGAAACAATCTCAACTTGTCTCCATATAACTGTAAATTGGTCCCCCCTAGGTTGAGAACACGGAGATTGGGTGTGAATTTGAAAAACGTTCCCTGAATAGTACGAGCATGTGTAAATGGTGGGTTGTTGAAATAGTAAATGTTATGCAAGCTTGTGGAATTGAATACACTGTCTCCCACTGATTTCAAAGACAAGAGGTTGGAAATGTGTAAACTCTGTAATTTGGGCAGATTTGCAAAGGCGTTGTTGGGCAAAGCTTCAATTCTATTGTTTGAAAGCAATAGCTTCAGCAGATTGGGCAGGCAGCTGAGAGGGGACGTATCCAAACTTCTGATGCCATTTTTCCGGATATCTAACCTTATTAACCGAGGCGTTAAAGGCACACCTCCGTCTACACATAAGGAAGGAATTTCAACCAGATTATTCCCTTTTAGAACCAACAGTTTTAGATTGGGCAACGGGGTTTCCACGATAAAAGAATATAGATTATGTTCGGATAGTTCTAAACGTGACAAGTTTTGTACCTGTGATAAAGCAGAAGCATTGAAAACTTCTATTCCCCCCACAAAAAGCGTCATACTTCGAAGTGATGTAAGATGTTTGAACACATCAGCATTAAGAGTCTTGTCGGTTCCACCATCAGCATAGAGTGTGACACTCTGGAGGTGACTGTGGACGTTCTGCAGCGCTGATATAATGCCTTTAAGAAGGAAACGTGGCTGTTGCCATTTCAGCGACTGGAGAAAGGATAGGTCCTCAAATGCATCAGGTGCTATTCCAGTGATGCTATTTCTGTCCATTGTAAGGGATGTGAGGTGGCAGTATGTTAGGTTAGCCATCATGTTCCTTGTGATGTAGCCGAGGTCTATACGAGCAAGTTCAACCCTTGTTATGTTTGGAAATGCTTTTGGAATTCCGGCCTTTTTGCCACGACATTGCATTCGAGGAGCTTGACACATACAGTAGGAGTAGCATCTCTTCCTTAATTTCCCGTGTACTGTCCAAGTAAAGGCAAGGGAAATGAGTATAATAACACAGAGGGTCTTCATTCTTAGAACGTGGTCTGCAAAGAAAAGGAGCGTTTTTATATTAAAATGTACATAAGTGGCTGGACACATGTAACAATACCCCGTTATCATGCTCGCATTTTACCCCGTACTGTTCAAGTGAATGCAATGAAAAGAGTATAACAAGAGTTTGCCACTAACGTGGCTATATCCCCCGCCCCTGTTGCAGAATTTATGACAAAATTAAATCTAAACCAACCCTAACCTTTTTTAACCGAGGTGGAACTTGTCATGGAAATTGTAAAAAAAAGAAGAGTTTGGAACCTAAGTCCATCTTGCTGCCATGGAAACGTAAAAAAATAAAATTTTCTAAAAATTCTAAATAGCAAAAGGCACAGTTCAGCATGTACCTGATAGACCTGCAAAGTTTGATGAAAAAATATTGAACGGTTTATGAGTTATGCTCCGGAAACGAACCCTACCCTAACATAACCTAAGTCAATCTTGTTGCCATGGAAACGTAAAAAATAAAATTTTCTAAAATTTCTAAATAGCAAAAGGCACCAGTTCAGCATGTACCTGACAGACCTGCAAAGTTTGATGAAACAATATTGAACGGTTTATGAGTTATGCTCCGGAAACGAACCCTACCCTAACAGAACCTAAGTCAATCTTGTTGCCATGGAAACGTAAAAAATAAAAATTTCTAAAATTTCTAAATAGCAAAAGGCACCAGTTCAGCATGTACCTGACTGACCTGCAAAGTTTGATGAAAAAATATTGAACAGTTTATGCTCCGGAAACGAAACGTGACGGACGGACATAAGGACGGACGGAGCCCGTTTCTATATCCCCCGCCAACTTTGTTGGGCGGGGGATAATAAGAGTTACTTCATGTCTAGGACATTGTCGCTGGAACGAAAAGAAACGTATTAATGTTAACATGTACGCATGCGGACACATACCCACGCCCCGTGAAAATCCGGGTTAGAAATATTAATGGTCTTCAGCAACCCATGCTTATCGCAAGAGGCGACCCACGGGATCGGGTGGTCAGGCTCGCTTACTTGGTAGATGCATGTCATCGTATCCCAATTGCGTATATCAATGTTCATAATGTCCACAACTGGATTGTCTGGTCAAGATTCGATTATTTACAGACCGCCGTCGTAAAGCTGGGATAGTGCTGAGTGCGGCGTTACACAACAAACAATCTACCAAACATATGGCACTGATAAAGATATGTTTTAATTTCAGTGATGGGAGTGATATAATCAACAATATACCCGATAAATCCCATTGTAAACCAGCGATCACATATCCACGATGCACGTTGACACACTATCAGCCACGTCATTGACCTATCCTCCAAAGCAGAAGGATACAAGTTTGGTGACATATACAATGCTTTGAAAAGGCGTAGCCATACCCCCTTCACATTGTGGCCTTGAGTCTGATCTTGGACCTTCCGGTGGCACATGCAATATCATTCACACTCTATCCCCATTCTTACAAAAAAATGATTTTTTCATTTGCTTAATTCAAAAGAAAAACGGGACAGTATTAATATTGATGACTTGCACCCTATTTCAATGACAGATATAAATGACAAAGAGTTTTAGAATATTGGGTGACATTGATTTTGTCGACAAAAAGGAAACGTACCTCAGTTTCATAGTTCTTTTGCCTGTGATGCTTGAGAAGATATTAATTTTTTTATTTTTTTTTTGTCAGTTAACAAAAATAGTTTAGCATTAAGATCACAACGATGAACAAGCACGGATATCGCCAGTAGAAGAAACATTCATGCACAATTTCAGTTTCATTACTCTAGACGTTTCTGTGGAAGAAATGTGCAGAGTACCCATAATGCATTAAAAAATATCTTCAAATTGGTCCAAGTACAAAATCCAAATTGATTGTAGGCCCTCTTAAGCTATACATTGCGGGGAAAAAGAAAATACACACCTTTGTGTTATGGAGGCTGGAAATGACAAGAAATGGTTATACAATGGGATGGTATTGGTTGGATGTCAAAGAAGTGTTTTTGGCTTTCCATTTGCAGTGTTTTCAGCCTAGTATTGTTTGAAGTTTTGGGATCAATTCCAACTTTCAAGTGTCTGCTTTCTTTTGTCTGGCAGTTTACTTACTTGTATAAGGTTTAAAAAAGCATAAACCATAATGTGTTTTTCGATATGGTTGCTGTGGTGGCCATATTGAAAATCGGATGTGAATCTCTTTGAGCGGACGTTTGCCTTACGCCACCGGCAACAGTATACCAGCCATATCACGGTTGTTGGTCAGTAATCATTCAGGGTCAGACGCGTGAAGATCCCGGGTAGAATAGGTCTTCAGCAACCCATGCTTGCCGTAAAAGGCGACTGTGCTTGTCGTAAGAGGCGACTAGCGGGATCGAGTGGTCAGACTCGCTGACTTGGTTGATGCATGTCATCGATCCCAATTGGATCGATGCTCATGATATCAATCACTGGGTCGTCTGGTCCAGACTCGATTATTAACAGACCACCGTCATATAGCTGGAATATTGCCGAGTTCGGCTGTAAACAACAAACCAGCCAACTTACTCGATTTTCAGGAAGAAGAGCTACAATTTGATGTTTATAAGTGTCTTACCTGCAGGAGTCGATTTCCGATGACCCTCTATCCCGATGCTCCGAAGATATCTTGCACACTGGGCATTTACAACGTCAACGTCGTGGTTAAAAGACAATCGAAATAGCGTCGACTGAGAGACTATTCCATCCAGGAATTGAATCATAAGGCAGGCTATAGAAAAACAGAAGGAAGCGGTATGATGACCAACGGGAAATTGAAAATAGGCCAAGAGGAAACACATGTCACTCGAGTTTTATGCTGGAGATAATTGAAACAAGGCTATAAATTAAAACACATCCGTGACGTCATTCTAGTGTTTAAACGCTCCATTCTTGGAGAGTTGTTTTTCAACTGTACATTATCTTGAACAAACATTTGAACCAATTTCCGCTTGGAACAGACGGAAATATTTTTCACATTTACAAACAAGTGAATAATCTTTTTCCCGAAAACATGTGTCGCCAGCGAATTTTCGAACCCGGATCGTTTGATTTGAGGACGTGCAAATGTCAACCCCAGCTATGGAGGGATGGTGTGAAATTAACTATTAGATATTTTCATAATTTTGCATAATGCTTAAAATCTCAAAATAATATGTATATAGTTTGTGTTAGAGCAGGTTACCTACAACAATGTATATATTTATACCGATTAGATAAACCTTTGAGTAATAAAAAGAAATCAGATAATATATTTATCCTTGTTCGGGGCTCTATATTTCCTATTTTTCCCGTAAGCGTGTATTGACAATGTGCAAGCGCTTGATAAAATACTGGTTTAGGACCCAACGAAATTATGAAGAGCCGTATACCATGCCTTGTAAATGTCAGCTCGCGAGGAGGCTTGGTGCACGTGCAAGAGCGGCAGAGAACTTATTCCTCGTGCTTTATGCAAGGGCGACTCACGCAGTATAAGTACAGTCAACAAAGAGGTGTGATTTATTTAAAAAATATTTTCCACAACAGAATATTTTGTCAAAGTGTAAAAGTAGGGATGAGTTACTCTCCATTCCTCTGCTCCATTATTTCTAAGGAATGGAGAGTCACTCGGACATTCCCCGACTGAAAACTCATCCCTCTGGTCCAGTATTACGTTATTTTGTCACGGTGACTAAAATGACAACAATTTAATTTTTAAGCGAGTACGGGTCATTGTTATAAAGGGTCAACTGGCAAAATATTAAGGTGAGTAATATAAATGTAACAGACTTATTATGCATATATGACGTTAAAACTGCTTCAATCACCAATACTTATATATCTGGAATATTACTGAGTGAGGGAGTGTGGTTTTACGCCGCTTTTAGCACTATTCCAGCAATATCACGGCGGGGGACACCGGAAAATAGGCTTCACACATTGTACCCATGTCGGGAATCGAACCCGGGGTTCGGCGTGACGAGCGAACGCTGTAACCACTAGGCTACCCGACCGCCCAGAATATTGCTGAGTGCGGCGTTAAACAAAAAAAAGCAAGAGTTTGCCACTTACGTGGCTATATCCCCCGCCCCTGTTGCAGACTTTTTGTCAAAATTAAATCTAAACAAGCCCTAACCTTTTTTAACCGAGGTGGAACTTGTCATGGAAATTGTAAAAACAAGAAGAGTTTGGAACCTAAGTCATCTTGTTGCCATGGAAACGTAAAAAATAAAAATTTCCAAAATTTCTACATAGCAAAAGGCACAAGTTCAGCATGTACGTGACAGACCTGCAAAGTTTGATGAAAAAAATATTGAACGGTTTCTGAGTTATGCTCCGGAGTGAGTGAGTGAGTATTGTTTTGCGCCGCTTTTAGCAATGTTCCAGCAATATCACGGCGGGGGACACCAGAAATGGGCTTCACACATTGTACTCATGTGTGGAATCGAACCCGGGTCTTCTGCTTGACGAGCGAACGCTTTAACCACTAGGCTACCCCACCGCCCGTCATGCTCCGGAAACGAACCCTACTCTCACAGAACCTAAGTCGATCTTGTTGCCATGGAAACGTAAAAAATAAGTTAAGCTCCGGAAACGAAACGTGACGTACGGACGGACGGACGGATGGACGAATCCCGTTTCTATATCCCCCGCCAACTTTAAAAAACAACTACAAAGGATTGTCAGCGTGAACAAATGAACTTTGCTGACTGACGAAAACAATGGATTCCGCATGTGATGGTGTTTCTGACAAAATTTATCCCCATTACTATTTTCATTGTACATAAATGACCCCGAGCAATCTCTATTGGAACATAACTGTCACGGTATAAATGTTGTTTATAATCTTGGTGATGACGCAAACGTATTATTACAATTTATAACTTTACTGTATGCTGATGATACAGTCTTATTTAGTAGATGCCCCGCCGATTTACAGAAAACCCTTGACTCGTTTAAAACATACAGCACTAAATGGAAACTAGATGTTAACATTTCAAAAACAACAATTATTATTTGTGGCAGTGGCCCTGCTAAACGAAGTAAACTCCAGTTCATGTTTGGTGGAAAACACCTCGAGATAGTAAATAGCTATGTTTACCTTGGCATAACATTCCATAGAAACCGAAGGATGATAAGCGCATTCAAATCTATTGCCTCTAATGCCAAGAAAGCTATGTTCCGTCTCCTGAAGAGAGCAAGAAATATTAATTTACCTCTCGATTGCCTTATATCGGCGTTTGATTCTACGGTATCACCTATCTTGTTATACGGTACAGAAATATGGGGGTACGAAAATGTACAAATTATTGAGCGTGTTCATTTAACATTTATAAAATTTGCAACTGGATAAAGAGTATCAACTGCCCTGCTTTGACTGGCATTGGATCTGGTGCCACACTCCAGGATAAAAATACTCGGCCTCACAGGGCCCGTGTGGTAACTGACTTCCACACTCCAGGATAAAAATGCTCGGCCTCACAGGGCCCGTGTGGTAACTGACTTCCACACTCCAGGATAAAAATGCTCGGCCTCACAGGGCCCGTGTGGTAACTGACTTCCACACTCCAGGATAAAAATACTCGGCCTCACGGGGCCCGTGTGGTAACTGACTTCCACACTCCAGGATAAAAATGCTCGGCCTCACGGGGCCCGTGTGGTAACTGACTTCCACACTCCAGGATAAAAATACTCGGCCTCACGGGGCCCGTGTGGTAACTGACTTCCACACTCCAGGATAAAAATGCTCGGCCTCACAGGGCCCGTGTGGTAACTGACTTCCACACTCCAGGATAAAAATGCTCGGCCTCACAGGGCCCGTGTGGTAACTGACTTCATCAACCGAAATGGAATCACCAGAATGCAGTGGCCTGACAATTCCCCAGATCTGACACCGATTGAACACATGTGGGGCGTACCGGGACGATGTTTGCATGCACATCGCTCACCAACTGTATACCTGCAAAAAAACAACAACAGAGTAGAAAGCAATACCCCAGGCAACTCTTGTCAGGTCCATGAGACAGCAGTGCAGAGACTGTGTCCATTCTAAGGGTGACCATATACGTTAGTGACACCCTTGGTATTCTTGTGACTTTATGAACTTACACTACTGGTTTCGAAGGCGATGTCTGGGTTACCTTGTTCACACAATAGAAATACTTGATCGCTATTTGATGAATTCATTTAAAATCTTCATTTTCTGACGATAGTAAATTGCCTGTTTTGTGTCCCATACCAAAACCCTGGTGATGATACCAGGTGTTGCTTCGATGAATAAAGGATAACTTTTGTTATGAGGTTCAGCAACAAGGAATAAGTAGAAAAAAATAATTAATTGTCAGTGTTTTGCTATAAATTCCTTATTGTCTCCTTTTAATTCCAATTTCTTATTGTGTCCAATTATTACCTTGGGGCACCACCTGTGAAATACCACACATATAAAAGTTGCGCTAATACGGTTTGAAATTGAGTATACACGGAACATACATAAACCGACTGATCACTTTGTTAATGTGGCAATAGCTCCTGCGACAGCTTGAGAGAGAGAGAGAGAGAGAGAGAGAGAGAGAGAGAGAGAGAGAGAAAGAGAGAGAGAAAGAGAGAGAGAGAGAGAGAGAGAGATGGGCCATGGGCTTTCTTAAGATTGTACTTAACTAAACTAACTTACAAACTAAACCTATTCAAATATAACACTGTGCATTCAAATTCTTCCAAGTGAAGTTTTTATTCTAAAAATGTGATATACTGACTAGTTATTTCCATTCCCCAGATATTACAGAAGTTCGAAATGGGAAGAAGAGTTGTGACATTTTAGGCCACAACGCTAAACAAAAATAGGCAATCAGTCTACTCTGATTTGTCTTGACTCGTTCGCGCCTCCTGGCCTTGTCAGCACCAACACATGCGGAATCCATTGTTTTCGTCAGCAAAGTTCGTTTGTTCACGCTGACAATCCGGGTTAGAATTGGTCTTCAGCAACCCAGGCTTGGAAGAGGCGGTGCTTGTCGTTAGAAGCGACTAACAGGGTGGTCAGATCGCCGACTTGTTTATCGTCGTGTCCCAATTCCGTATATCGATGATCATGATGTTAATCACTGGATTGTCTGGAACAGGCTCGATATAGCTGAGTCGACATAAGTATTGGTGATTGAAGCAGTTTTAACTTCTTTTATGCATACTATTTTGCGTAATAAATTAATTTTATATTACTCACCTTAATATTTTGCCAGCTGACCCTTCATAACAATGACCCGCACTCGCTTAGTAATAGAATTGTAGTCATTTTAGTCACCTTGACGAAATAACGTAATACGGGACAAGCAGGCGTTTCTGTAGAGGGGAATGTCCGAGTCACCTTCCATTCCTTAAAAATAATGGAGCATCGGCCCCGCAGGGCCCGAGGCCCATTATTTTTAAGGAATGGAGAGTTACAAGGATAGTCCCCTACTTAAAACTCATCCCTCTGGTCCCGTATTACGTTATTTTGTCACGGTGACTAAAATGACAACAATTTAATTTTTAAGGGAGTACGGGTCATTGTTATAAAGGGTCAACTGGCAAAATATTAAGGTGAGTAATATAAATGTAACAGACTTATTATGCATGTATGACGTTAAAACTGCTTCAATCACCAATACTTATATAGCTGGAATATTACTGAGTGAGGGAGTGTGGTTTTACGCCGCTTTTAGCACTATTCCAGCAATATCACGGCGGGGGACACC